TTGTGAGTTTTCCAAATCTTGTCAAATAATCTCCTACAAGTTCCCTTTGTGTCAGCTCAGTCTTTTCTGAGGCAGACAAAGGGCGTTAAAGCTGAAAGAGTCAGGCAGCTGGAGTTCTGTACAGTCAGGCTTGTAATCGACACACTCAGTTTCGTTTGTAGACGGTTGTTCCCGTCTTCGCACTCGCAATTTTACTCCCGACTTCAACTATGTATATGCAGTGAAAAATACTGTTGCGTTCTAAATTCGCAACTTACGATACCCAATAAAATGCAAGCATATAAAAACCATGAGGGTTTTTCCTTGATCAGATTGTTGGAGTGACTTGACCTAGCGGATATGCCCTCATATCGATCATCCAGGTACTGACAGTGGGCACATAACACAATGAAATGCGTCCCAAATTGAGCCCTCCGGGAAGGGTACTAGCATTGTAACAACTTGTCACTATACACTAGACCTTTCAAATAGTTACCGACTTTCATGCGTAAAACTCAGCGGAGCACAAAAAGGGTAAGTGCCCTGCAAGAGGACTGAATGTATCACCAAAGACTTGGTCATTCGTAAAAAATTTTTTTTTCACAAATATGTCAATCTCTTTTCAAGAGATTCCATCTTTTGGCGATCATACAGTATTTCCGGAAATACTCATCATATCAGAAAGTGCGCCAATGTATTGACTCCCGCCAAAGTCCTTCAGAATATAGCAACATATTGCAGTAAGAACCAGACCGCCCCCACCGCAAACCTCCTATCCTTCACGTTGCATGCGCTCCAATGTCCATCAGTCCCAGAGAAGCGCAAAATGCGCTACAGCTGCTTGCCGAAGCAGCTGTCAACCGCACAAACGACCTCGACGCATACCCCATGGAGGACCTCAAAAGCGACACTGATGAGGAAACAGACTCCTCGACGCCCACCTATGATTCCTTTTATCAGTCTGGCGGGTCCCCTGCCATCTTGAAAATGTGCAACTTCGCCCCCGATGAGTTCCAAGAAGTTTGGATGAAATTCAGGGAGGTGATGCTCAACAATTGGAACACGGGACGAGGGAGAAAGACCAAACATGGGGCAAGAGACATGCTCTTCATCGTACTAAGTTGCATGAAGCATGGGGGGCAGTGGGACTTTCTCGGTCGCATGTTTAAGATTAAGGGCCCGTCGTTGAGGGATCTTGTTGAGAAGTTCATTCGAATGGCAGCGGACGTGAGTTATGAAACATTGGTGCTTGATGCCGGGGCAGCGTGTCCCATGGAGCGCATCCTCAAAAGCAATCGGGCGTTCAAAAAGTACCCCTACGCCCGATATGCGACGGACGTCACTTTTCAACACACTAACAGGCCTACGGGAAATCATCAAGAATCCAAGAAATACTTCTCAGGAAAACATAAGCTTTACGGGTATAAGACGGAGGTTTCAGTTCTACGAATTGGATTGGCAATCGTCTGCAGTGTGCATTTTGCAGATGCAACAGCCGACATCGATAATGTTTACAGTATAAAAGATGAACATCTGTTGATGCTGAAGAAAAGTGAAGTGGAGAATGACATTTTGGACGCTGGTGCTCTTTCTGACAAATATCCTAAGAGCTGGGCTTGTCTTTTTGACAAAGGATATCAGGGTGTGGCAGATTCTGTTCGTGGTATTGTCCCTACGAAAAAAGGCCAGGACGATATTTGACTTTAGAAGAAGAGGCTGGCAATCGAGAACATGCATCGGATAGAATTATCGTTGAAACTACTTCGGTCGCTTGTGTGGTTTATGAAATGTTCTTAGCTCACAATTCCGTTGGGGTGAAAAGATGTACGACATCATATTTTCATTTGTGTTGGGTGTTACCAACATGCACCGCTGGTACCCACTACGGGGAGCTGATCTGAATCTTTACAGGCATGTGAAAAATCGAAGATACACGCTTGGGAACGACCGGGTTGAGAAGAGCAAGCGGGTACAGGCCAAGTACAGACAGAAGCGTAAGGCTATAATGGACATCAGTTTTCACGCAGGAACCCAAGATGACGCCATGTTTGAGACTGAGGACTTGGATTTCTGAGCACTACCAAGTATTACAGTGAATGCTTTCTCAGTTGTTTTTCTATGATGGGTTTTGGAAAATATTACAATGATTTGCTATACGTTGCGGTCTTTGGTCGAATTCACAGTATGCTGCCCTGACATCCTGCGATCATACCAAAAGTGTAAGTTTTTCATGAACCATTCGGTATTTGGCCAGATACCCTATAACTGGCGGAAAGACCTACTACAGTGCACGAAAAAACTAAAGAGCACCCCCAAATGGTGAATGCATTGGGGTGCCCAAAGTTCCATTCAAATGGAAAAACTGCTCAAAGGCATTGATTCTATGTTGCATCTAAAATAGCAAAATTTCGCATCGATCCCTTCATTATTTTGAAATATATCTCCACTTCGGCTACTGTAGAGGGTGTAAGAACTATAAAGTATTGAAACAAAAAGCGCACCAACGGAAGGATTACAAGTGGCTAGTACGATGTCTTACCGGCGCCAGCTTCGATGACATCTAAGCAGCGCTTGTGCATGCTCTTCACAAGCCCATACAGATACTTACGGTCCAATTTCGACCATTCTTCAAGAACTGCAGTTTTAGATCGTCAACTGTGTTATATTGACGACAACCAGCATAGAAATCCCGCGCGAGCACTCCCCAAACGTTCTCAATGGGATTGAGGTTGGGACTTGGCGCGGGCCAGCTCATTACGTTAATATTGTTAGCAATAATCCATGCCTCCGTTTCCTGAGACCTATGGAAAGAGTCATTATCCTGCTGAAATACCCATCCATTGCCATGTATCATTTCTGCAAAAGGTGGCAAATAGTTAGCAAGCGTCGTAGTGTACTTGCTAGAGTTCTGCATACCAGCAATTATCGCTAAATTTGAAGTACCAAGTTCAGAAAATGCCCCCCATATCACTAAAGAGCCACCTCCCATCTGTCGACGAGACAAAACCTTTCCCTCCTTTCGCAAGTCGTGCCAGTAGTAGGAGAGCCCGTCAGGACCATCAAAATTGAATTTCTTTTCGTCTGAAAAGATGACCTGTCCCCATTTCTGCATGTTTCACCCTGCTCTTTCCTTTTCCCACTTTACACGCACTGTTCTATGCCTTGGAGTCAATGGAGGCGCTATTTTTGCCTTCTGACACTGTAGGAGAGGGCTCGTTGATAAAATCTGCTGTACCCGGCCCTTAGAAACCGGCAATTCTAGCTCCCTTCGTAATGTTTCAGCACTTTTTTCCCCCTTCGAGGCCTCACGCAGAAGCCGACGAGACTCTGCAGGGGTCATTTTGGGCGGACGCCCACCGGCGTGCTTTTCGTTGTACACCTGGGGTCCTTTTAAAATGGTTTGGATGGCTTTGCGGGACTTCCTCACCCGTCGAGCAATTTCTTTTTAAGAAACATTTTCATTGTGCAAGGCAAGGACTTGACCTTGTTGAAAAGGGGTCAATTTTTTCCCTTTTGGCATATTGTGGTTGCATTGGGTCTTATTTATGTCTCGTCTATGTCGAGAAGGAGGAAAAGAGCAATGCTAATGGCAACAAAAGTTCTTTATATCCTATTTCTATAGTGTAACGGGCTTGTGATCTATAGATTTTGCACCCTCTACAGTAGCCGAAGTGATCCTATTTTTCGAAATAATTAAGGCGATGTGAAAGTTCGTTACTTTTATATGATTTGCAAAATAACGGTCTGCGGGAAGTTTTTTGTTTTGAACGGAACATTTTTCACGGGAATTCGTTCAACAATTGGGGGTGCTCTTTAGTTTTTTCGTGCACTGTATTGTACTAATATACCGTACGATACGCACATCAGGGCAATACCGTGGTGGTAAAAAATATAGCACATATTGGGGTTTAAACTGTACAGCTTGAGGAAACTCTTTGTACTTCAAAAAGACTGCAACACTGCTTGAGAAAAGGGACGCCGAAAGCGTCCCCGCTGTTCCTATGAACCGGGTCAAGCTGCGGAGTTCATCTACAAGGATACTGAGAAGCAGTTTCACCTCCAGTATTCCTCCAAAAAAGAGTAACACAAACTTTGAGAAAAGGCAAGTTTTGGCTCATCATTCGAACTGTTGGTCAGTTGCAATCATAGATATGGAGCTGAAACGTTCTAAACAAGTTTTCCATCCTTTCTGAAGCAGGGAGCCGTGTACGGTAGCAAAACGAGCCCGGGAAGGCCTCCAAAACTCAGTAATGCTTGTGCATGGAGTCTTACTCGTACAGCTGCGGAGGATAATTTTAGCTGATGCTCAAATTACCCTCCGCAGCTGCGTCATTCCTCGAAGCTTGAAAGCACCCATGACTTGGAGCAAAATCAGATTCGCACAAATGGGATGTTGTCGTCTCCAAATATTTTGAGTGAAGATACCATCAAACACAATGGGGTTTTGCCGAACTGGCATGAATCACTTTCCTTTTCCCCTTGCAATTGAACGTTCAGAAGCAATTACCCAAAGAATAGACCATGTGGGTGTCTGTACTAAAGCATTTTCTCGGATAATTGACTGATGTGAGCTGTTGCGTCTGACCACTTTCAGTGATGTTTTCTACGTTGAAGTTCGACCATGGTCGGGCAGAGATTGACTAAGCGAAACAGGTCCTGACATTAACATCAGGGTTCCGGCCACCCATGCAGTGACACAAAACGCTGTCTCGAGGCACGTTGATGACGCACTACCGCCGTTCTTTTCACTGAAATTAAGAAGCGAGGCAGTTCTTCGATATCTTCTTGTGCAGTTGTCATTTCCTTATCATCGCTGGTGACAAATAGGCGTTGCTTCTGTCTGGAACTGGCGTCGCACATCTGTGAGAAGATACGCTCGCTGCAAGTATACACACTTTTACATTAAATCTTTATCCTGAACAAATATAAAGCAATATCAAACGACACATAAAAAATGTATGAAGACCCCGTATGGCAGCGCTGGCCTGCATTCTACTGCGCAACTGCTTTTTCATCCACAGTCATAAATCTTCCACATCAGCAGGGTCGAGAATGCCTGCAAATCTAGCATCACGCATCTTGTGATAGTGCTCCTTTGATAATTCCAAGACGCAGTCGTTCTGCACCCATTCCCTCTTTCCGTATCCAAAGAACGCAATGAGTGAGGACTCACACGCTTTTCCGACTCCATGCGTTCCTCCGAATTCTTCCCGTCCTGCATACCACAAACCATCTGAAGAATACAATGCCAACACATTACGCTTTGTGAACATACCTCCTTCCTTTTCGCAAATTTGAGCAAAAAGTCGTTCATGGTTGCGACCGACTTCGGCAGATATGATCTCGCACCGTGGATTACATTCGAATAGCTCCATACTAACACTACTATCGGCTTCTGACAGGAGCAGCGAACGAGCCCCCAAGACTGATGATGCAACAACTCCACCGAGGCACGTCTGGCTAGTCCATTGCTGAACTCTTACGAGAAGCACCGCTTGTTGTGCCCGAACTCCAATCCGACATAGTAAATCTTGCCATGTCATTATGTATGGCCATTCGTCTTCGTTCTTTACAGTCACCCGGGAACGATTGAGGAACTGGTGTGCGGTTCCTAGCGATGTCATTTCACGATTCATTCTACCGCGACTTCCCCGGTGCAACAAACCGTAGCTGACTGTCTTACAATATTGCTTCAAGGTTCGGAGGACCTCCCCGTTCCACTCTGGATCGCTTCCGCTCCGATACGCAGCGTCTAAGTCGTCGTGAAGCCGTGTCATCAATGAGTCAGAGGGGCCCAAGCCAGCAGCCTTAATAAGCCTTGCAATGTAGTCATTGTCAGACAGGTCTTGTTCCTGCTGTTCCAGAAACCCGGATAGGTCGAAGTCGTTTGCCAAGACTTCAACCGACTCTACCAACTTTCGAAACGCTTGCAAGCGCCTCTCAAGGCTGTTTCTCATTAAGGCGTCCATATCAATCAGGACCGCACGGCGGCCATTATCGACGTAGGATTGGTCACTTGCATATTTTTCCACTTCAAGCACTGCACCGCGCTTCAGCCTCTTGTTATGATTAGAACCATCCAAATCTACTATGGAGTGTGGTGCATTTTCCGTCAGACCTGCCGGCCCTGATTTTCGCTTTGCAAGCGGTTTTGCGAAGTCATCAGCAATCACCGGAGATTTATCGGGATCTACAACAGGGGCATGAGCATTCTTTCCTTTAAACTTTGATGGGAACACAGCAGCAGGCTTCCCCATTTGAACATCGCGCTCCGATCGCAAACCAAGGCCAAGACGGCCATCTGTTGTTCTGGGTTTGATCGGCTCAAGTATACCGTCTTCTTTTGCCCCCAATCGACCCTTAAACCCCATTTTCTGCATCATTCGCAATGATTTGGAGGAGGCATCGTACCCGTTCGTTTTCATGTTTGCGTCCGCCAGCTCAACAGGCTTTGCGCCTGTTACACTTGTCTGCATTTTTAAGATCTCCACCTGCTGTATATTAATAGACCTTGTTCCAACAACTGAGGCGTTACAAAACTCTTCCGCCTTCTTTCTCTCTTTGTCAAAAGGTGATAGATTAGAATCATGGTCAATTCTGACTTGCTTCTTACTCCTATTCTCTTTTTCTGAAGTAGATTTTTCTTCCCTTCTGATGTCAATCGACTCTTCTTCCGGCACTGTCTGAGCACCAAAGAGAGTGTTGGGGTTCTCTTCTACCATCTTGAACAACTCGCTAAGATGATCTGCCCCTTCCTCTTGCCGAGGTAGCTCTTCTACGGGCTCAGGTGGTGTCTGGCTACTTGCAGGTGGCACACTCGATGTGCTCGAATCACTGTTCTCGGTTTTGGATGAATCGGATGCATGCTCAGCTAGAACTTCTTGCAAAAGTTCTTTGTTTGATTTTCCTAGATCGCTATTCGCAGATTGAAGTACTTTAGTCTGCTGGATCAGTGGTGGGGAAAGAGCCTCGAGTTCCGAATCAGTGGTAGTGGCCCAATACTCGTAATCTGCGACAGAGCCTGGATCCGAGGAAGTAGCGCAAGGTAAATCGTCATGAAAATTTGTGATCCCCTTCGATGGATTTCCTTTGTTCTTCGTTCTCCGCGATCTAGCGCCAACCTTGTAAGTTCTCAACAGTGACCCGCGATACGACTTGGAAAGGAATGCAGGTAGCACCCGTGGAGCTTCTATATTTTGATCCTCTGGCGGCGGGAACATGTAACGTGTGTAGCGTTTGAGACCGTTGATGTCATGAGCCCACGGCGGGACGGGGTCCTGAGTTCCATCGCGGTTGAGATATTGAATGATAATTTCCGTTGACTTGACTCTGCGTCTATGCGACTCTTTTAAATCTTTCCCAAACCCAGCATCTGACGCGCTTCCAGCATCAAGATCTGGAACTACCTGGGAGGGTCTGGGAAGGTTTCTGAAGGCCTCCCTTACCTGGTCCTTCACACGAGGATGCGCGAGTGCAGTGGATGACGGCTGCACGTGGGCTTCCAAAAGGGCGGCATACGACGCAGCGGATGTCCGGTTTACGTCTTGCGAGGACAAGTAGAGTGGGGAAAGCTGTTTGAGACGGCTAGCAAATCTACGCTTCCAACGCTTTTTTCGCCTCAAGCCCTTGGGGCTTCGGCGGTTGTGCAAGACTCGGTTGCTTTTGGGCCGTGAAAGACTGGGACGTGGCTCTTCATTCCCTGAGCTGCTCTCGGGCGAAGTTATTGCGTCTAACACTGTGTCGCCCATCCACTACGGCATTAAACAGCCAAAGAGCCAGGAGGGTAAAGTAGATCTCCAAGTGCAGGTCATGAACAAGTCGCAGATCGTCTGACGGAAAGCTTGAATGGGCCGAATGTAAACCAAGCGGCAAAGGTCACTCCGTGCTGGACAGCGAGCGATCTACAGATGTGCCATACTGTAGCACAGCGCTATACGGCAGATGCTCACTGCACTGTACTGTACGTGTAGAGCTGTGACCAGATCCGGCTATTCAGAAAGGCCACGGTTACTGTACGACGCGACAAGCTTTTGAAAAACTTACATATAAACATTTTACTGTGCAAGAGGTACGATGTTGCAGTAGTGCATGGCCGTGACTGCGCACTTTTTGACAGTTTCACGCTATGCCTATTTTATACAGCCCCGACAGGTGTACACGTATATGATCTTTGATTTTTTTGGGGGATATATGTACACGTGTCTTTTAGGATGATGTGGAATTTCCAGACAAGGCACTGCGAACGAGGTTAAAGATACGGATGCACTATCGCAGCAGTGGTGATCTGTTCGGTGATTGATACTGCGGTGTACAGAAGTACAGTACCCTTGGGTAACAGTATACAGTATTTTGCTAATGTAAAATTGTAAAATAGCGGGGGATTGCACATGTGCATTGAATAAAAGCATACGAAGGGGATTGGAATGAGCAAGCAGCACATTACACAGTGGCCCATGGAAAAGGCGGAATGGGAATGGGAAACTCGGATAGCGTACAGTAAATTACGATGTGTGATGGATATGTGCGAACATAACATATCTTCTCATAGACTATATTTTCCAAATTTTTAAGGTTTGAATTTTTCCAGCGCTTGTGCGTTATCCTGCTACCCTAGCCTGAAACACTCGCCCAGAGCTAATCATGTAAAACGGTCACGGCCGCAACCCTCATAGCACTATCGACCTCAGCTCTTTATAACACTACCTCAATGTGGCCCGCTCACCGTTCTCTTTCTCGCCACGACCACACCTATTCTTCACCATTCTGACCGAGCACCACAATTTCAATCCTCACTCGTTCCTTTGGATTTCAGGTGTCATTCTGTGTCCGACCTTCAGGTCCACCAGAAGCGTAAATGGGACGCGGTAAGTCGTGGTCCCGCGAGGAGTCACAAGCTGTCGCAAACGCATGGATACATGCTTCGGAGCACACCTCGTCCACCCGCGAGCAAAGCAGTAAGGCCTTCGTCAATGACCTTTACCGGCGCTTCACCGAACTCGCACCCTCAGATCCAGACGTCCTCGAAGGGAGATGGACCTCCCGCTCTCAGACGGCTGTAAAGACGCAGTTTGATGCCATTAGCGAAGATGTCAACAACTTTAACATAGCTCTTTCCGATGTTGCGGAACAAGCTTTGCGCCAGGGTATCACATCTCGTGATTTAATTCTTCGAGCAACCGTCGGTAAACATCTCCAGGCAATTTCTGGAAACCTAGACTTTGACAGTGTCAAGTCCGAAGTAACCGAATGGAAGCTGTTTGAAGCTTGGCGTGTGCTCAGTAGCTGCAAGCGGTTTGCCCCGGCCAACTGGCCCATACCAACAAGCCCTAATGAAGGCCATGTCGAAGAAACCGACGTAAAACCTAGCCCTCAACCCCAGTCCAGGGGAATGGACTGCGGCAACTCGGGATACAGTATTCCGAGCCCTCGCAACCTTCAGTCAGGGGGCACCCCGATGCGCACCCTGGCATCCGCTGCGCTCTCAATGAATCCTGTCGGGAACGGAATGTCATCAATTACGCCACTGTCCCAAGCGGCTCCTAATACCCACCGTGCCGAGAAAAGGAGTTCCCAACAACCTGGCGGCCGTAGAGGCTTCGCCGGTCGAACGTTGGGAAAGAGACGCGCTGAACAAGAGTTTAGAGGTCAGAGAGTATCGAAAAATCACAGAGCAGAAAAGTTTGAGATACTATCGCCAAACTGCGGGACACTTGAACTTGTTGCACAGGCCATTTCCACTCTAGGGGATGCCCTCAGCGAACACAATGCAATCACTCTATTTTCAAGACCAGAAATGCAAGGCCGTTCTGAACAACAAGAATTCTTCAATGCCCTTGCGGACAAGCATGTGGCAAAGGCAAAGATAGATCGAGATAGACTCGTGAACGAAGTACGACAAAAACGTGACAATAACAAACATGAGTCACAATCGTATCCGGAATGAGACGCCATCATCAAGGCCAAAGTGAAAAAAAAAAGTCTCCTCTGCGTTTTTGTGACAACTCCAAAGAAACATTACATCAGACAGGGCAGCGGGCGGTGAAAGTAGACGGCGAAGGGCTTTGAGTGTGGTTCACTAAACAAGCTAGTCCGACCTGATGGCTACGACTTTGTTTCCGAGGCGATGAGCTCATCTACCAATCCCTCGCAGGCACCTTCAATCAAATCTAAGGCTAGTTCAAAGCCCTTTTCCCCCGACCAGTAGGGGTCTGGAACAGCACGTCCACGGAAATTGTCGTCAGGACTGAACCGAGACATGAGGGCCACCCTCGCCGGCGCATCTTCAGCAACGTTCCAATGTTGCTTCGCGGTGTTGATCGATTCGATATTGCTTTCATCCATGGCAATGATAAGGTCAAAGTGATAGAAATCGGCTCTACACAAGGGACGAGATTTGCTGAGTAGGTCCAGACCGCGTTTCCTGGCAGCAGCACGCATGCGAGGATCTGCCTCGTCGCCTTGATGATACGAAAAACCGTCTTCTAGATACCAATTTGGGGAACCACCTCCTGTGCCACAAGAATCGACGAAAAAGCTTTCGTCGAGCCCGCGACGGGAGACGACATTCTTCATAACTGCTTCTGCGGCGGGAGAGCGACAAATATTGCCAAGGCAAAGCATGAGAACCTTGTGGTTTTCGACGTTAGACGTCATGGTGAAACGAGGTAGGCGGGTTGGAGAGCAAGACGCAGGGAAACGCCGAGAATGAGAAAAGCTGAGGGAAGGTAGGGCGATAAAAGCGTTGGTCATTTTGGCTTGTAGATGAGGATGAGGGCTTGCAACGGGCAGGGCTCGGACCAAATGGAGATCAACCGCAGTACTGTACAGCAGTGGTTCTCGAAGGGTCATGGGATGGACTGTCTCCATGTTACGTGTAGAGCAAATCGGAGGGCAACAAGTCGTGGGTGCAGACGTTTAAAGTTTAACGGTATGATACCGTCACATACCGTATACTGTACTGCACAGTTTAAACTTTAAACTGTGCAGTATACGGTATGTTTGGCCAACCACCAAACAGTTTGCTCCATGGCGGGATGCTGTCTATCCAATCAGCTTTGATTATGTTCGAATTCAGATACCTTTGTAAACGTCTAAACTTCTGTGATCCCTCAAACCCACGCTCTCCACTCCACCAAGACACTCGTGTAGCTAATATGCTGGCGCTCCCCCGCTCCACCACAAGCGCTTGCGTAAAGTCATCTCTCCGCCGCCGACCTTTTTTCTTGTACAATCATTGATGCATTGCACCATACACACTGTTCCCTACTGTACCTATTTAGTCAACCACTGCAGAATCGCTCACATCATCGCTCCTATTTAACCAGCACAAACTCTTCCTGCGTCATGCTCTCGTCATTCTTCCTGCACACTTTGTGGACCAAGTTTCTAGCCGTATAAGTTGTGCCTCGTGTCCGTTTCATGCCAGCTGCCTTTCCATACCGTTCCCGACCTTGAGTATTTTGACACCGTTGCGCTTTCGCACCTCTGAGGCCAACTGCCGGTACAAGCATGTCTCAGCCGGTTGCAGAATACCCGCAAACCTCCCCGTACGGACGCACTAATACAGGCAATCCTGAGAAGAATAAGAAGCAATCTTTTTCTCAACCACTTATGAACCATCCTTTGCCGATTCTAACGTCTATCGCTACGGCCGCAGGTCTTGCAACCATGCCGCAGAAGGAACCCATTATCTCTGTCAACGCTTCTCACACACAAGATGCCCCTTTTGGCTCGGACTTACCGCCCCACCTAATCCCTCGCGGCTACCAGTTCGAACTCTTTCGGCGGGCGTGCAAGGAGAATGTCATCGCTTTTTTGGAAACAGGCTCTGGGAAGACCCTAGTGGCTGCCTTGTTGATAAAAAAGACCATTGAAGACTTGGCAAACACCGAAGCCCAGATCAATGCATCTCCTATGAATGCGGATGAAGACTTGCATGACACCGAAGACGACAACGAATCAGTTGACGACCTTGAGTATGGTGACAGTGATGACGACAACAACGATACCGATGGCGAGGACTACGAGGACAACACCAAATTCGACCCTGATGAGGACGACGACCAAGACTCTATCCAATACAGTATTGAGGCGAGTGATGAAGACTGCGACAGCAGTTCTGATCTGGGTTACACCATAGGAAACATTAAGAGTCATGAACAACACGTCATCGGAGATAACCATAAGGAAAGTTCCACTTGGGTTGACTCAGAGCAACCAAAACATACAAGGTGCAAACAATATGTCTCCAGACGAGAAGAACCAGATAGAGATTGGACTCTTGACCCAGACAACGGGCCCTGGTCGAGCACTTCAGAACTGCAAGTCTCTAGTCCTGACCATGCTGGAGCAGCCGGAGCAGATATGCAGTCGTCAAGTAGTTCAAATTCGCAAAAAACATCTGGAATGCTGCGGACCCCGCAACGTCGTCCTGGGACCCGTCGGCAGAGCCCTTCTCCTCCTCCAGTGAACATATCGCCTAAGGCATGCGATGATCGGGTCAGCGGTGGCGTTTCTGTTTCTTCTGGCGCTGCAGACTTTGGCTGTCAGGGGAAAAAGATTGCTGTTTTTCTTGTTCATCGGGTTCCTCTTGTTCCACAGCAGGCAAAGGTAGTTCAATCTGTTATGAGAGCAGATGTTGACGTGGGTATGTATTACGGGGAGAAATGTGTTGATTGGTCTTCCTCTCAATGGGCAAGGAGCCTTAGAACTAAAAGAGTTCTCGTTATGACCGCACAAGTCTTCCTAAACTTGCTTCGCCATGGCTTAGTCGGCATCAGGAGCATAGCCGTTTTGGTTCTTGATGAAGTGCATCACGCCACGAAGAACCATCCATATCGCAGGCTCTTCTTGGAGTTTTACCACACACTACCCGCTGGAGAACCACGGCCCCGTGTCTTCGGGATGACTGCAACGCCAGTTAAAGCAAAGGCTGCTTCTCAGAAGTCCGACCCCTGCCTGAAGGCTATTCTGGCCTTAGAGGCAACTTTGGATGCCACTGTTGTAACAGTGTCCACCGAAGCTCAGTCAGAGGTCGAAGTATTGGTTCCAAAACCTGAGGAATTTATCGCATTGTTTGAAGGAAGCGAGATGAACATGGAACTGAATGAAGAGGAGTTGGCAGAACTTGAGACACCATCGTTGGCATCTGTCATGGAATTAGTCACGTCGGCCCACTCGAAACATCCGAGTGATGCACAGATCGCCGTGCGAGATTCCCGCCTGTCAGATGGAAAACTCGAGCCACAAGAAGGAAACACACTAAACTACTTATTGTGGAATCTGGGGTTTCGAGCAGCAGCGTACTTCGCTAGAGAGTTGTGTGCCCTGAAGGGCATTTGTTCTGGAGATGTTGTTGATGCACTACTTCAAAAATCATCTGAAAAGGATATCAAGATAGGAGGAATCACTTCCAGGGTATCTATGCTTCTCGACATTCTGTTCTCCGAGTACATGAGATGCAGAGGGGATTTGGAAGTTTCCGCGGATTCTAAAGATTTAAGAGAGACTTTCCGATGCATCGTGTTTGTGAAAGAGAGAGTAACAGCCGTAGCGCTAGCGTGGTTGATCAACTCAGTGTTTAAGGATTTGAAATGTCCAGAGCTAAGCGCCAGGTCTGCTGTTGGGGTGCAAAATAGCACATCTCGAGTCCGTATGTCTCAATCAAAGCTGCTGACAACACTTTCGGATTTTCAAGGGGGACTCTTCGGTATTCTTGTTGCCACAAGCGTCGTTGAAGAAGGTCTTGATGTTCCAGCTTGTCGACTGGTTGTGGCGTGTGATGTGATCATGTCGCCGTCAGGTTATGTACAGCGTAGGGGACGGGCAAGAAAAAGAGGTGCTCGATATATTAGCTTTTTGGAGCGCGGCTCCGAGGAGGCCTATAATGATGCCTCCAAAGCCCGTGCAGGTGCTAGAATGATGAGCTTGGTTGTAAGCTCGGAGAAAGCGCAGGATGGTGATAGCTTGGTCTATCGGAATGAACTTGTGAAAGGTTCTCTGCTGTCCGAAGACACGCTGTACTCAAGGACGACACGAGCTCAGGTTACTGGTACTGAAGCTGTGAATTTATTGTATCGTTACAACGAGGGGAAGGCTGCCGCTGCCGGGTTCAGCGATGCTCCAACGCCTGAATACGTCTTGACAAGAACGAGCACTGGAGCATTTACATGTCAAGTAAAGCTCCATGCTACGGTTTCAATAGGATCTGATGTCTGTATAAGTCCACAGGAAACAGAACTGAATGCGAAGCGCGCCGCGGCTCTCGAAGTCTACTCACGGTTGTACGAAGCAGGGGAGGTGGATGAATTCCTTCTTCCGAAAAGACAAACGAAGAAACGAGTGCGACAGATCTTGAAGACTTCGAACGGGCAGAATACAAACGTTCCGGTTCGAGGGAGAAGAAGGAGTGATAGAGAAAAACAGACCAAGTCGGCAAAGAGAGACAGAAGGGTACGCAAGTGCCGTATTGCGCACCCAGATGCGTTACAATCACCGTGCAATAGAGTATCCCATGGTCCTGTTTCCGCTGAGCACGTCGAGGAGGGGCCACAGAATGCTATCCTGAGAAATCTCCCACATGCGGAACGAGTAGTTCGAGGGAATTCTTCTGCCAACGCGGAATTTCTCCCTGACCACACACGACGTGCAGCGACAAGCGTCTCCGAGGAGCAAGTTGAGGGACAGCAGATGCTTATGTTTCGTGTTCAAGTTGACGAGTGCCTTGATGAATTGAAATTTCTATCACAAAGTACAGATCCCCAATTCGGTATACTGGTGAAGAATGACATCCCACCAGAGGATTGGAAGAGCATGAGATGCCCCTCTGGGGAAGACCTTATTTCCTTACAATTTAAGAAACGAATCCCTTGGAATGAAGAGATGCAAGAGACGGCCTACAAATATGTTCGGAGCTTACAACTTTGTCTTCGTGGAAGAGCACCTGGCTCTCCAGGGGCGATGGAGCTTTACGAGAAGGATTACAGCAAGAACAAAAGGACGGGATTCCTCCTTCTGCCCCTAAAGAAGTGTGAGAGCAGTTCCGAACTCGATATTGATTGGCCAAGCATTGAAAAGCTTCTCTGTTTTGGGTGGAGATGTGGACCTTTGGAGTTTGCAGACCACGAACAACATCTCAAACAAGGACTAGAGCACTCGTTACTATGTTCCTATCATGAAAGCTTTGGCCGCGTGTACCTCAGCGGTGAATTCAGCACGCATCTGCGTGCTAGTTCTTCTTCGCAAGGTTTCTTAAATTCCAATTTCAAGACCTTTGCGGACTATTTTTTGAAAAAACATGATACGCAGGTTCCGGATGAGGAGCTTAACCTCATAGAAGGATATATTGTTTTGGACAGAATGTGTGGTTTGTCGGCGTCACCATTTATGCTGCCACCCGAGCTGTGCAGGATTATCCCTATCCCGCCAATTGCATGCTACATTGCCTCCATTTTACCGCAATGGCAAACATTCTTAGCCCTCCGAAGTTGCTGGCGACGCAATCGCATCTGTCCAGATGATGAGGGCTTCATATCGTTTGCACGAGCGTTGCAACCAAATATCAACAATATCGCCAAGGATGACGTCGACTTGTCCCACGAGCGTTTAGAATTTCTCGGAGATGCTGTGTTGAAGGTTCTGTTTTCGATGGCCGCATTTGTTGCCAACCCTCTCGACAGTGAGGGGTTTCTCAGTGACGAGAGGGACATTGAGGTCAGTAATCAGAAGCTAGCTGATCTTGCGATCGAGATGAAAATTCAAGATTGCGTAGCATTCTCAGGCGTAACCCAAAAAGCGAAATCATGGCCATGGTTTTGGGGGACTCACCAGAACAAATCAGTTCCCATATCCCAGAAGGTACTGGCTGATTGCGTTGAGGCGTTGATAGGCGCACATTACCTTCAGGGAGGCATAGAGGCGGCAGCTGTATTCATGGACAAACATAAGGTCCTGCCTGGAGGATGCAGCGTTTTGGGAATTTCTGAAGACGGGAGAAAAAGCGAAGGTGCTCTCGTGAAAGTCCCGGACTTTGGACCCTCAGATAATCGAAAAGATTCCGTGTACATTGAAGAAGTAGAAAAGATTATTGGGTACCAATTCCGCGACAGGGGGCACTTAGTGGTTGCATTGACACACGGAAGCTTCCGAAATGGGCACAGCCCCTCATACCAGAGGTACGAATACCTTGGAGATGCAATCATCGGATGCTTACTTTTGTCTCATCTGTTCGATCAATATGCCGATGCGGGTCCAGGAGACCTGACTGCTTTGCGTGGCCCAGCACTGAGCAATGACTTGTTCGCACGCGTGATCGTGTCACTGAATATTCATGAACGATTCTGGTTTGAATGTCCTCCTTTTGAAGTTGAAATCAAAAAGTTTGCAAACCTTCTTGCAAACGAACGAAGCGGTGAAGATGTCTGCAAGCAAATGACTGTTCCAAAGGTACTCGGGGATCTATTAGAGGCCATCGTTGGTGCTGTAGTAATTGACAAGGGCATGAAATTGGACGGCGTCAAGGACATTGTGTTAGCTCTCATGCACAAAGAGTTGCGGAGATTCTGTGACCCTGAAAGCTTCAAACATAATCCTGTATCTGAATTGGTTCAATATGTACAAAGGGTGCATAAACTTCGTCCATCGTACAAGTACTACAATGGGGAAAACAGCATTGAAACCGAATGTGCAATTCTTGTGAATAATAGGGAGGTCTTTCGTGCGAGTGGACCTACCCGGCGAGTGGCAAAACACATGGCAGCTGTCGAGAGCCTAAATATTCTCAAGAAAGAACAAGATGGCGACGGTCCCATTCTCACCAAATATGACGGAAGTATTTGACTATGCGAAGTATGATAGCAAAACTGACCGAGGGACTACGGCCAAGTACTGCTTCACATCAGGCAATTCACTGTGTTGGTTCATTTATCTCATTGAAATTGCTCTAGAATGCTGCTTCCATTTCTACTGCCATCCAATATGCTCAGAAACTCGCAGCCGGGATATTGAGTTTCAGGTCGCAGTGCTTTCAAATTGGACTTTGTGGATTTCTTGTGTATGAATCACAAGTGACCTAACCTCATATGAGATTACTTTTCAATTTGTTTTTTTTCCGTATTTGTGCTTTCTCGATAAGAAGGAGAATGATACCCTCGCCACTGTACTTGACTTCTGCATTGCGGAAGGGTAGATTTCATTGAGATCTGGATGTCCTTTCCGGTCGTTCTTAAAATTGCCAGGCAAGGAAGCTATTTTGAGCAACCCTGAAACTTCATATATTCATATCTTCGGAACCAAAGCCTCCGTGTAGAAACGCAACTGATAGTTTCAACTCCAGTAGATTCTCATTCTTGTAGTTTTGAAAACTGCTATCCCAATATTCTGCAAGATGTTATTACCGTAGTCCGGTATGTTAAGCAATGGTGTCCAAATTGACTTCCAAAAGTTGCGAATTAAGGCCTATATTTTCGCGGAGAGAGTTGGCCCCATATGAGGCAAATCGCTTTGTCGTCTTGCTAGCGAGGCACTAAGGGTCGCTTAAGGTCTTTCTTCGCCAGCCTTTGTTTTGGAACAAATAAGAAACTGCGCAATTTGATTCTTCAACAAGATGTACTAATATACATTGCCCTCGTCCGAGAATTACAAGCGGAGGCAGTGCTCTCTAGAGAGCTCTCTAGAGCTACCTCTCGAGAGGTAGTGTCTATCCGACCGGGGCTTGTTCTTGAGGGGACAGCTCTTTTTTTGCAAATATATATAAATTAAATTGAAGCTTTAAACATCTATCTTGGACACTATTTCCTTAACGCACTTGTTTTCGGCAATAACATCTTGCAGAACACCACCGGGATGGCAGCTTTGAGTATGCAGAAAGATTAAGAATGTAATGCAGATTGAGTGCCAAGTTGCTATTTTAAACTGGCGTTTTTGGTTTCGAAGTTACTTTACATGCGGTTTTAAGGTGGTTTAAAATGCTTTTTTTCCAGACATATCTAAAAACATCCAGGAAGAACATGCAATTCTCACAAAGTTTTTTTTGTCCCCAAGTCAGAAGTCAAGTACGGTGGCGAGGGTGTCTTTTTCTTTCATGTCAAAGAAGCGCAAGTCAAGAATAAAATAGGTCGAATAGTGTCCTCATATGAGGACAACAGTCCTATAGACATTAGAGACGACAAGCGATTTGCCTCATGTGAGGCCAGCTTTTTTTGCAAAAATATATACATTAAATCGAAACTTTATAAAGTCAGCTTGGACGCCATTTCTTTAACGTATATGCCCTCGCCAATAACGTCTTGCAAAACATTGGGAAAGCAGCTGTTGATGTCAACAGCATGTCAATAGTTGTCAACAACTATTGACATCGATACACAAAAAGACTAAGAATCTAGTGTTTTCAATCCACGTTTGAAATTTTAAACAGGCGTTTTGGTTTCGAAGATATCAACACATAACGATTTTAGATTGGTCAATAAGGCTTCTTGTTTAGGCTTTCTAAAAATGGCTGGAAAAGACGGGCAGATCTCACCCAACTCCACCCTTCCGCAACGCAGAAGTCAACTGCGATGGCGAGAGTATCTCTTCCCCTCTTGTCGAGCAAGCATAAGTCGAGAAAAATTAAGTTGAAAAGTAGCCTCATATGAGGTCACTTGTCGTCTAGACAGGAGTAGTCTCAAAGTAAATGTGCAGTAGCTTAAAACAGGATAGGTTATGGCGTAAAAGAAAACTGGCCCTTTTCTACATTGTTACGCGACTCACATAGGGGGCAACACGGTCAGCAGGGATGGGCCATTCGAAACGGTTTTAAGCTACGCACGTTCACATCACTCAACTATGGCCAGCGTAGATTCAGGTCTCTGTATATAGATTGCTCACAACTCTCAGAATTTGGCCTTCAAATGACCAAGATGAGAAGTTTGGATGGAAGTGTCCGTCGGTTCCAAACGTGCATTTTCGCCAAGAAAATGATATGATTGTCATGATAAAATCACCTGTGTACTGAAGATCGGGAGCTCTTTCGCGACAACTCGTGAAAAGCGACTAGCCCGCGGCCATGTTCAGAAAACAACTTTCTAACGGGGTGAGCGATGGAACCGGGCCAGCAGTGGAAGTGCAGTGGAAGCGTGAATCCTCTGCCCTTTGCGCTTGATCTGTAGTTGCGATGATCGCTGTCTGTGTAGATTTGTCGTCAAAAGACGGGCCTTTCTTTTCACATTTGTTTCCCTTGGAATATCAAGCCTTTAAAAGAAGATAGGCATCCTCTGCTTCCCGTTATTCCTCTCCCGAACACTTTCTCCTCTCGCCAACCCGAGGCATCCTCGGTTCCCATTGAGCACAGCTGCATCCTCCCACCATAAAAAGAAGATACGCATCCTCTGCTTCCCGTTATTCCTCTCCCGACCACTTTCTTATCTTGCCAACCCGAGACATCCTTGGTTCCCATTGAGCACAGCTGCATCCTCCAACCATAAATGGGAGTGTGTAATTCAACCGCTACACCTTCAGATGCGGACTCCCAGGCTGCGCAGGCAACGCAGCCTCCAATCTCGCATACGGCCTCGCATAAGCCAGCGCGGACGCAATCCGCTTCGTGTCAATCATCCTCGACGTCGGCGGAACCGACGGCGGCTTTAGCACGCGCGCGGCTACGCATGCGCCGACGCCGAATGAAGAGAAAAGGGAAAAGTCTCGACCAAGTTGCACGCGTGGTTACGGTGAACGTGGGAGAAGGGAAAGGAAAAGCCGCGGCGCGCGTGGCACGACAGTTGGTGGGAGAGAGGATTCTTTTGTTCTGGCCAACACTTTCAGTTTGGTACGTAACGAGGAAATAGCTTTGTCGGTGGGGGTTTGGGAAAAGGAAGAATGCTGACAGAAAGCGCTATGTATTTGTGTGTGCTTTTGTAGGGTGGATTGCGAGGTGGTTAAGTACGGAGGGAGTTGTCGGGAATTCAGGGGCCTGCATGAGGTTAAATATGAGGATGGGGTTTGTGAGTGGAGGGTGCTGAAGAGGTTTCGGGTGGTTGTGGGGGGGAAGGTTTTTGTTAGAGCGATGCTTGGCAAGGGGGTGGGGGGGAAGCGAGGGGTGGAGGCAGAGAATGGATGAGTGTGGTCCGAGTGATCGAGAAAAAAAAGTGTTTGGATGTATGTACCCCTCGAGGGGTAGGTAGGCTGTTTTGAACGCTCCTTTTTGTTTACAATTCATGGACACAATCGAAGCTCCGGACATGTAACTCGGTACTGTAGGATAGTAGAAGATAAACAGCGCGCGGGCAAGGGAATTACTTTCGTGGTTTACCAGCTAGCATGAGGACAACGGGCTCATGTGAATTTAGTTTTGGATTTTTTTTTCTTGACTTGCGTTTTCACGAGAAGAGGGAGAAAGATGCCCCGCCCCCACTACCGTGCTCGAGTTCTGACGTTTGGATGGAAATAGGTCAGTGACAAGTTTATGCTTTTCTTGGTCGTTTTTAGAAATGCTTGGAAAAAGCTTTTTTAAACCAGTTTAATTTAAAATCACATGTAAAATAACTTCGAAACCAAAAACGCCAGTCTGAAACAGGAACTAGGTACTTAATCTGCATTACATTCTCAATATGATCTTTCTGCATATTCAAAGCTCTGCTATCTCGCCGTTCTGCGAGATGCTATTGCCGAAAACAAGTACGTAAGGAAATAGTGTCGAAGGTAGCTTATTAAATGTTCAACTTAATTTATATATTTTTGCAAAAGCTGTCCTCGACCGAGGACAAGCCACGGTCGGACAGACAGTAGGGAGGAATTAAGAATTAGATATCAATTTTTATGCTTTAATAAGTCATCCTTCATGGGAGTACAATACCGCACAAGTACAAGAGGGGGTACCCATTTCTTGAACAGCACTCCCAAGATTTGAACACCCCAAAAATTTCCAATAATCAGCATTTTAACCATTTTGGGTCACATAACCAAATTTCAACTTTAACTTGCCATATCTCCGAAAGCCTTTCTTACAAGGACACACTGGCCTGAAAATCAGATTGGGCGGTCTATGTCGGTCCGAAATCTTCAATTCGGATATTCCCGCCTTTTCGAAGCTAGATATAAATGCAGTTACAGGCTTCCGTTTCTGCACACAGGTCGGAACACGAGACTCCTCCCACCTTCCTCACCTCACATCCCTCACCCACCAAAGCCTTCAGATGTCCAAACAAGACCGTCGGACGAAGCGCGAGAAACGTCGCCTACATGAGGCATTCGATGCCGTTATTGATGGAAGTTTTCGTTGCACTGGTGCCAAAATGGCACGCCGCCCACTCTACACCTTTCAATACCAGTTCCGAAAGTTTTTGGACTCCGAAACCTCAGAGTCAAGGTTTGATTCGCGAAACGTCCTTACTCAGGAGGAAGAAACGACTGTTGTCGAACTCGTGAAACGGTATGCTTCTCAAGCCCGACCGCTCAGACGCTCCGACCTCGCTGATGCAGTCGAAATCATCGTCAAATACATGTCCCCCGAACGCCGATCTAAACTAACCTTCAATGACGGCCGTCCTGGCAAGAAATGCTTGAGAAACTTCGAATTCCGTCACCGCAATTCGATCAAGATTGGAAAGGCTTCACGCCAAGACGCCCTGCGATACCGTGCTACCAACGCAGAAAACCTCACAACGCACTTCGCCGAACTGCAGGACATCATTGAAAATTTTCATATCAACAGCCCAAGAATTTGCAACATCGACGAAACTGGCTGTTCTCCGAATCGAGATGCCAACGGGCGCATCCGTGCCAAGGCGTACTGTACGAGAGGAGCGGTGTCACAATGCAAGTCTGCCTTTTTCAAAAAAGTTCATCGTGTTACTCTGCTTCCTGCCATTTTTGCCTGCGGAAACTTTGGTACCCCAACCTTCGTTATCCAAAGTGCATCAGTGGCCTACCGCGTGATTACAATTGACGGTACTGAGCATGTGGAATCCCTCGCTGACTGGCTACCCCTGCATTCAAGCATCACCACTAGAAGGGAACTGGCAGGCGTTGACAAATTTATTTTTGAGAGATGGGCTCAGGCTTTTGTAGAATATTGCCGTACTTTGACGGCAAACGACCGAAAAGTCCTGCTTATCTATGACGGTTACCGTAGCCACATGAGTGTCCGCCGTGCCGTCGCGAGAAAGAGAGCCCTTAATTCTCGATTGATGGCGGCCTCTCCCTCGAGATGAAACTGGGCGTACGAGACCATCTTTGAGATCCAATGCCTTTCGTTCCACTCGAGCTTCTTCAAGTTGGAGCCAAGCCTCCATCACCGCCGCCGCCTCCGTACCTGCCGCCGACGCCTTCGAACCACCGCCCCTTAACTGCCACACCCATCGGCGGCGTTGGTGCCACCTACACGACCGCCGCCGCCTCCATACCCGCCGCTGCCGCCTCCGTACCTGCCACCGACGCCTCCATACCCGCCGCCACTGCCGCCGTAACCTCCACCGCCGCCGGCGCCGTAGTCACCGTGCGCAAATCCCGACTGAGTGTTTGCCTTCTTTGAGAGGAACTCCTCCCCACCACGGTGGGGAGGCCAGGAACGTGTATCTGATTTTGTTGTTGCCATTAAAAATAATACATTTGGGGCTCTCAATCACTATTATATGCGCCTGGCGTTCAACATTAGGGTACACTTTTCGGTGTTGCTTGCCTGTTCAAGGTGTTGGCAGCTGCCAAGTTCTGCTCGGATTTCTCTTGGCGGATCCTTCATTGGTGAATATGTGCGGATACACGGCATTAAGACCTCTAATTCGGCGCCGATTTTGTTCTGAGACTCCAACGAAAAGTACTTTTTTTTAAATGTTTGTGAGGCGTTCAAGAAATGGGTACCCCCACTTGTACAGTACTGTACTGACGCGAACGGAGCTATCTGTGAGAGCGGTAAACCTCTGGTCTCTTGTTTACGCCGATCTACTCCTTTTTATACTATTCTGCGCCGTCGGCTGGCCCAACTGCTACGTGTATACGTGTTAGCACTGGTAATATAGCGGTGTCGCACGGTGCGGTCGTCATAAGAGGTGCTTAGCACTGACAGCCTCCCTGTCGACTGGTAACTGCGATGGCGCGTTGTTTGGGGATTGTCGGCGGGTTGGAAATACAAAGGGCGTTTCGTTGCTGTTCGAATCGTTGGCGATCAAGCGGTTTCGAAAATATATCAACAAGCATGTCTTGCGTTGGAATGTGGGTGATTTGGATGCTGCGATTGCGATGGTGGGAGCGTAAATAGTGATGGCGGAGATGAATGAATTTGCGACGTCTGGTAGGGGCGGTGTTGGTTGCGATTGTGCATGGGGGAGCACCGGTGTTGCTGTGTTGGGTAGAAGCTGGAGCTCCTGCATTATTCTCGGTAGCCATTTTGTGGCTTCCACGGCTTGAGTGGCCGAGATGTACTCAGCCTCACATGTACTGAGCGCTTGTAGGGATTGCTTGTTTGAGGACCACAGTAGCGGTACACCGTTGAGGGTGTGTACTGCACCGGAGATGGATTTGCGATCGGAAATGTCGTTGGCGAAGTCCGCGTCGGCGTGTGTGGCAAGAGGATGGTTTGCGAAGCGGGTTTTCGTAATTGTTTTGAAGTGGTGCGTGCGTCGCGTTTGGAAGCGGGGTGTAGGTGATGCCCAGCTCGGGTGTGGCTCGCAGGTACCGGACTAGTCTTTTGAGGTGCTGCCAGTGTCGTTTTGTTGGATTGTGTGATGCTTGTGCCAGACGGTTCGTGATGAAGAAGATGTCGGGTCTGGTGCCATCTGCGATGTATCTTATTTCGCCGATGATTTGTTGGTAGATTTGCGTCAATTCAGGACAGGCTGTATCAGTAGTTCCGGGTACTGACAGGATCATGCCATCGACGTATGGCGTAAGTTTGGGATTCGAGTTCGCCGTTTTCATGTTGTGGATGACCGATTGGATGTATTGTGGTTGTGATATGTGGGTGGT